CTTGGCTAATCGCGAGCCAGAGGGCGGGAGGAGGGGGAGGGAGCTCGGGAGCTCGGCTTTGGACATGCCAGCAGCAAGTACGGCTCTCAATGTCCAGAAAGCAAAGATCCAGGCGTCTCCTGCGAGGACATGATAAAGTCCTCCATGAAATGATGGCATTGGACTAGATCAATTAACCAATCCATAAGCCCTCACCAAGGGCCAATGACGTCTGAGCTTTACAAGGTCCTGTCTACGAGTTATGAAAAGGGTTGGAAAGATCCCTGCGGAGCTGACTCAGGTCTTCGGAATCCCCTCGGTCGCCACGCTAACCAATGCAGCAAGTATGAAGACTGAAAGAGCCGAATACCTAATTAGGGTCCTCCACCGAGTGCTTCCATTTCTTCCACCAGAGTAGTTTAGGAAGGAGGCTTTTCCCCAGTTCAGGACTCTGAGAAAAGGCAAGGGCTGCACGGTTGTCCCAAAGGGGCTCGGGGGCTCAGACCCTCCAGGAAGGCCCTTGTGTTTCATCAATTACTGGCTGTCAGTTTGTCACGTCTCAGGTACTCTCTCTATTCCAACAGAGACACCCAGGTGTCAGCTGGGCTGTGGGCCCCCGGCCCCACTGCAATTGGCTCTCTTGTTCTCCCTCAAACAGCACTGACACTCTGAGCCCGGGAGCACTGGGGAATGGAGCCCTTGCTCACCAGGCCCCCACCTGTTACACACGGGAAGGCCAGAGCAAGAAAACTGCCAAGAGGAGGTGCCTCCGTGCCTGAGAGAGGCTCCGCTCCTGACTCTCAACTTTCTTCACCCCTGGCCTTCTCACGCTGGAAATACCCTCAGCCCTATGGCCCCTTCCTCTGATTGGTGAACTTCTCCCAGAGCTTCCAATGTAGGAGAAGCAGCCAGGACCACCATGAATTCACTCTTCTCTGGACTTCTCTGTCACCCCCTTCTACTGCCTCCCCCTCAGCATCTTTTATTCTGCTGTCTTCCCCCGTGAGAATGTAAGCTCCTCAAGGGCAGAGGCTGTCTTTCCACAATTTGCACTGGCCTACCACAGTGGATGGAGCACGGGACCCGGAGTTGGGAAGATCTGAGTCTAAATCTGACCTCCAGACACTTACTAACTGTGCAACCTTGGACAAGCCACCTCACCTTTGTCTGCCTCGCTTTCCTCTTCTGTAAAATGGAAATAATGATAGCACCTACCTCCCGGGGCTGTTACAAGGACAAAATGAGATATTTGTAAAGTACTTTCCAAACTTTAAAGTATTATACAAATGCTGGATATTAACATTATTATTAATAGTAGTAATAATAAATGCTTGTTCACTTGACTTTGATATTAATTCATTTGTTCAAAAAACAATTATTAAGAGCCTACTACATACAGAATCATATGTCAAACAATAAACCCACAGGAAAAACAGAGTGACTTTATAAACGACTGACCTGCTTTTCATAAGGAGGAGGGCAAGAAGGCTCTTTCTGGGTGGGTGAAAGACCCCATGATGTGATAATGTGCACCTGAGACCGTTTCTTTACCCAACCTAATAATAACATTGAGGCGAACGTCCTGACCAGGTCACGTAGTTAAAAGAGAAAACCTGGGATTCTGGCTTCTCGAAGCATAGCTATGGAGGCAGAAGGGACTGTGGAGGCTGGGGCAACCTGAGGAAAGGCTTGAGGTCACACAGGTACAAGCATCATGGGCAGGAGTTGAACCCAGATCTCCCGACTTCCCCCTCAGGGGTTTGTCCTCTTCACCAGTGGTGACCAACTCAAACACGGGGCCACGCTCCCGCTCCTCCAGGCCCGGCAGCATGCCAGCTGTGATGATATTTTTATTTTGTTAAATATTTCTCAATTACATTCTCATCTGGTTCAGGCCTAGGCTGCAGGCCCCATGTTGACCTCTGCTCTATATCACTCAAGCAGACACACATTCCTTCTCCACATTATTTCTTTTCTTTCTCATTTCAAATCTTCCGCCTCCAGGAAGCTTTCCAAGATGAACCCACCCCATTCCTCAGCCTCCCAGAACCAGCTTTGCCATCCCTTCCCTACAATGCCCTCCAGCAATTCTACTTTTCTGTTACCTAGACAGACCCTTCGTGACAAAATCATTTTCTTTAAAAGCATCCACGCATTGCTTTGGACTTTTATTCTCCACCCAGACCTGGCATGATCTTGTTAGTGAAAAAGTCATCTGCACCTGATGCCTCTACATACCCTCTTCTCCATCTTCCCCTAACCCTCCGAGGCCTTCCAACCTTACTCCACCACACTGCTCCCTCCAAAGTGACCAGTCATCTCCTAACTACCAGATGTGAAGGCCTTTGCTCAGGCCTCATCTTTCCTGACTTTTCTTGCAGCCTTTGACACTGCTGATCCCCCTCTTCTCTTTCCTGGGGGTTTTCATAACAGCGAATGCTCCGGGCCAATCTTCCTTCCCAGTCTCCTGTGTTGACTCGTTATTCAAGTCACCCTGACCTGACTGACCCTGGGCCCTCTTTCCTTTCTCGTTAGCCTCTCACTAGGCAACCTCGTCGGCCTCCACGTCCATGCAGACGCTTCTCACATCCGTACGTCTAGTCATCGTGTGTCCCAAGCTTCCATCCCGCATCACCACCTGGCTACTGGCCATTTCAAACTGACCAGAGTCACACTCTCCCCCCCTAGTCTTCCTCTCTCCGGATCTTCCCTGTGACTATGGCTCCCAGCAAGCTTACAGTCACTCAGGGTCGTCCCCAGCTCTCTCTCTCCTTTGCCTTCCACTGCCCAATGGCTGCCCAATCTCCTTGTGTCCATTTCCAATGGTCTTCCTTTCTCCATTCTCAAAGACACCATTCTAGGTCATCACCGCTTGCTGGACCATTACCGTAACCTCCAATCTGGCCTTCCTACAATGATGCTCTCCCCACTTCAACTCATCCATCCTCCAGACAGCTGCCAAAAATCTCTGAAGAAGAGGTCTGGTCCTATCAAAGCCCCAGCCCCAGTCAATAAACTCCAGTGATTTCCACCTGCCTCCAAAAACAAAGATACGATTTTCTGTTTAACATTAAATTTTAAAAAATTTTGAACTAGGAACTAGGTGGCACACTGGGTAAGGTGCTGGACCTGGAGACAGAAAGACCTGAGTTCAAATCTATGTCAGACACTTCCTAGCCCTGTGATCCTAGGCAAGTCACTTCACCTGTTTGCCTCCGTTTCTGTTGCCTGTGAAAAATGGGGATAATAACAGCCCCTACCTCCCTGGGCTGTCTTGTAGGGCAAATGAGATGATATTTGTAAAGTGCTTTAGAAACCTTAAAGCACTACATAAATGCTAGATATTATTTCTATTAGCTAACTGAAACACTAAGGGTATTTTGATACACAGCAGATCACAAAGAGTGAAATGATGACTCTTTATTACACGTTGCTTACTTTTAAAAAAGTACAAAAATTCTACATGTTACTTTCAAAACTATCCTATTTGAATATGCTTTACTTTGAAATTCCTTCTCTGCATTAAAAAGATTTCAATGGTCCTCATTTTTTTTAAACCTCACTATTGCTAACTGCCACCCCCAATCCATCTCCAATTAACTGAAAGAAAAAAAACACACAGCAATCACAGTCACAAAAAATAAATCCATACGGTGACCACGTTCACAAATGGATGTCTACTTCTGCACCTTGAGTCTCTCACCACCTCTCTATCAGGAGTTGGGAAGCACGCTTCCGCACAGTGCCTTTGGAGACATGGCTGGCCACTCACTGATCCGAGTAAAAAGGCTGGCACCTCGCTGGCACTTAATAAATACTCAGTCCCTTCCCTTTCAATGGCTCAAATAAATTTACCTCTCTAGGTTTTGTTTGAGTCTCGTATTTGCATCTCAAAATTCCTAAGCAGCTCTGGTCTTTTCATCAGAAATATTTAAAAGTCCTCGATTTCATTAAAAGCTCACCTTCCCCTATAGGATTACACCGAGCTTGCAAAAGCAAGCCTCTTATCTTTTGCTGTTGGGATCACTGTAGGCCAAGATCTCCTCTCACTCCAAGCAGAAGGCGTCAGAGCTTGTGTCATCCTGACTGTGGGTTTTTGGCGCCTGGACTGCTTCTTTCTGGATGCCTACAGCATTTTTTCTTTCACAGTTTTGGATTTTGGCTATGGCACTCCTGGCACTTGTTTCTTTCTGAAGATGACTGGTAGATTATATCTTCGCTTTGACTTTTGGTTCTACTAGATCTCGGGTGTTTTTATCGATAATATCTTGAAATATAATTTTCAGGGCTTTTTTTTAAACCATGGTTTTCAGAGTCCTAAGGTTCTTGAATTATCTTTCCTTGATCTGTTTTCTAGAATAGGTTTTTTTTTAAAAAATCAGATATCTCACATTTTATCCTTTTTTTTTTCCAATCTCTTGACAGTATTCTAAAATTTCTTGCTACCTCATGGAGCTACTGATTTTTCTTAGGTTTATCCTAGTTTTCGGGGAGTCCATTACTTGGGTAAAGTTTAACAGTTTCTCTTCTAAGATACTAATTCTCATTCAAAGTCTTCCCTCAAGAACCTTCATTTTGTTTTAGCTCTTGCTTCATTTCTTCTAAGTATGTGGTCCGTGTAGAAAATCCACGTTTCTCCGCTGGTCCTGCTTGTAGTTGTTATGGGATTCTTCTCTCCTTCTTTGGGGGATCTTTAGATGTGTAATAATTTCAGCTACTGGCCAATGCTTTCTTTGATATATATTCATCTCACCAGCTTTAGCTTATGAACTGAGACGGAGGTGAGAAGGGAGGGCATTCCAGGCATGGAGGATGACAAGTGCAAAGGCATGAAGATGGGAGAGATATGCTGCATGTGAGGACCAGAAGGACGGCCTGCTTGGCTGGATCACATCAGAAAGGACTCCAAAGAATGCTCAGTGAGCGAGGTTTGACAGATAATTTCAAGGCAGTTTGTTCTCCAGGGCTTAAGGAGAAGAACTCAGGATCAAGTATCCTTCCTGTTCAGCCCCTTGACTCACCTGAGGAGCAAGTGTTGACCCTCTAGGATCTTCACCCAATACACAGACTGCCCCGCGTGGCCGTCCAGGGTGGTGTCCACTCTTCGGGTCTGCAGGTTCCAGACATGTATCAGTCCGCTGAGTGACCTGTCAGACAACGCGCCAGATGTTGTTTGAGCCGGCCCTGGAAGTGGGACTGCTCCCCCTCCCCCCAACCCTACCTTTTCTTTTAAAATTCCCTGGGATCCAGAGACCACTGCTACACAGGAAGAGGCGACCTTCCGCTAATGTGGCGGATAATGGGAATGAGACCTGATGTGCTCGTGAACAAAGATGGCGTCTCAAACCCTAAAGGAGCCATCCAGCTGTATAAGACTCTCATTTCTCTCTAGTCATCCCCAGTACTGCCTCACCTCTGAGAAAGACCTGCAGCCGTGAGTCACCTGTCCCCACTGTCCTAAGAAAGCACAGAGGGCCTTCCTCACAATTACCCAATCAGCAAGGCAGGACAAGTAGTATAATCCCCACTTTTCAGATGAGGAAACAGAGGCTGGGAGAGCGGAAGGGTCTTGCCTAAGATCATGTCTGTCTTGGCAGTGGTAGAGGAAGGACTCTGAGTTCCTGGCTCCTTTCCCCGGACCATCAGGCCTCTCAAATTTACAATGAAATCCAGAGCAGAAGGGAAGTTTAATGCTACTTCAGTGAATGAGTGCTTTTCAAATATTTCAGGAACACCCAATCTCATGTGAGTGACAGGCCATTACTGAGCACTCTCACTTACTCATTAAACCAGGCTAGAAGGACCCCTGCTCACCAGCACTTGGTTAGCCTTAGTTACTCTGCATATTCGAAGATAACAAAACACAACAGAAGAGGCTGATCACCATTGGGATGGACCGCTCTCCCAGGCATCACTTACCCAGAGAACAGCAGTGGGGGGCTGTCGGCCTCGCTCCTGCAGGAGAAATGCAAGGTGTTTACCGCTGACTGGGAACCTCGAAGTACAAACCGTGGTGGAGGAGGGGGAAGAGCCATGACCAGGAGAGAAAGCCAGGAACACCTTCTGGAGAAAGAAAGAACGAAACAACATGTTTATTTCTGCCCATCTTGGCTTAAAGTTTATAAACACTGAAGGAAGAGAGGGTTTCCTTTTATTTATTTTTTTTTTTGGTCACAGAATCACAAAATGTGAGGCTGGAAAAGAACTCAACAATCCCCTAGTCCAACCTGCATGTGGAAGGAAAGCCCCAGAACATCCCTGAAAGTGGTCCTCTGGCCTCTGTCTGAAACTCCCCTCCCCAGGAAGGCCCCCTATCCCATTCTGAAGCTCCCTTCCCCAGGAAGGCCCCCCCATCCCATTCTGAATCTCCCCTCCCCCAGGAGGCCCCCCATCCCATTCTGAAGCTGCCCTCCTCCAGGAAGGTCCCCATCCCATTCTGAAGCTCCCTTCCCCCAGGAGGGCCCCCCCATTCCATTCTGGGGCAGCTCTCCTTGGGACATCTGTCCTGGCTCAAGCCCAAATTTGCCTCTATGCCACTTCCACTTGTTCCTGGGTCCAGCCCCCAGACCAAACACTACTAATCCCTGGTCCCTACAATGGCCAGGCACATGCTTAAATTAGCCTGATATCAGGTAACTTCTGTCTGCTCCTCGGCCTTTCTGTTTTCATCTGACACAGACTTAAGAACTCACCACACCAGACTAGCTGCTCTCAGGATGCTTTCTTGCTTGTGCATTTCCTTCTTAAAATGTGGTGCCCACTTCAGGGAGAGGTGGAGCCAAGGTGGTGGAGCAAAGGCAGGACTTGCCTGAACTCTCCCCCAAACCCCTCCAAGTACCCTTAAAATGGCTCTGAGCAAATTCTACAGCAGCAGAACCCACAAAAAGACAGAGTGAAACAAATTTCCAGCCCAAGACAACTTGGTAGGTTGGCAGCAAAGGCCTGTTGCACCAAGGCGCCAGTGCAGACTGGGCCCCAGCAAGCCAGGAGCAGGCCTTGGGAGAGACCGCATCAGTAGCTGCAGTGGCTGATGGCAGAGCTCTCTGCCCACGGACAGTAACAGGGTCGAACAAGTGCTCAGAAGGAGATTACTGGGGTCTCTGTACTAGCACTGAGGCAGGGCTCTGTTCCTCTGCCCATACTTGGATCCAGGTCCTGGGCGGCAGTTCCAGGGGAGGAGGAATACCAGCACTCCAGAGCGCACGGCCGCACAGGAGGGCAGAGAAGAGTGCTTGTGGTCACTCACAGCCCAGAGCCCAGGCCAGGAGAGGAGCGAGCACCTTTCCTTGGAAGGACCGAAAACCTACCAGTCCCTAGAAGTATCTCTGGAAACAGCTGCACAAAACCCCCGAGTCTTGGGACAATGCACCCTCCACCCTGGAAGCAGAGCCCTACTTTAGAGTTAAAAGTCAAGAAACAGGCTGGGAAAATGAGCAAACAACAGAAAAAGTTCTCACCATAGAAAGGAAAAGCAAAACACACACTCAGAAGACAATAATCAAGTCAAAGCTCCCACATCCAAAGCCTCCAAGAAAAATACGAATTGGTCTCAGGCCATGGAAGAGCTCAAAAAGGATTTTGAGAAGCAAGTAAAAGAGGTAGAGGGAAAATTGGGAAGAGAAATGAGAGTGAAGTGGTTTTCAAGAAAACCATGAAAAACAAGTCAAGACTTTGGCAAAGGAGACCCAAAAAATAATGAAGAAAATAACACCTTAAAAACAAACTAGGCCAAATGATAAAAGAGGCACAAAAAGCCAACGAGGAGAAGGACGCCTTAAAAAGCAGAATGGTCCAAATGGAAACGGAGGTCCCAAAGCTCACTGCAGAAAATCATTCCTTAACAATTGGAATGGAGCAAATGGAAGCTAATGACTTTCTGTGAAATCAAGAAACCACAAAACAAAACTAAAAGAATAGAAAAATGGAAGACAATGTGAAGTATCTCACTGGTAAAATGTGATGCCCAGAACTGAATTCTATGCTCCAGGGGAAGTATGATGGAGGAAGAGTATAGCAGGACCATCTATCACCCAGTTCTTCATGGGAGCCATGCATCCGTTTCCTCCTCTGAAGAAACATAGTAGACACAAGTAAACAGTAACATACAAAAAACTCTGAAGAAGAATCAGAGAAATGTATGATTGGAAAAAAAAAGAGATAGGCTGGTTACCTGGCAAGCACAAGAGTGACTGGCAGACAGCCCCTGTGCCCTCTTGGAATCTCTCAACACCCAGAGAAAGGCCCCTGGCACATTCTGTAGACTCCCGATGGCAACTTTATGGCAAGATGTGGACAGTGGCAGCAGAAGGGATAGGCTTCGTGACTCTGCTCAAGTCATGTAACCTCTGTTTGATTCCGTTTGCTCAGCTGTAAAATGGGGATGATAACGATAACACCACCTTCCCAGGACTGCTGTGAGGATCAAATGAGATAATAATTGTAAAGTGTTTATTTAGCACAGCTCCTGCAGCCACTACTACCACCACTACCACTACTACCACTACTACTACTACTACCATCACCACCACACTACTACCACTACTACTACTACTACTACTACTGCTACTACTACTACTACCATCACCACCAAACTACTACCACTACTATCACTACTACTACCACCACTATTACTACTACTACTACCATCACCACTATACTACCTCTACTACCACTACCACCACTACTATTACTACTACCACTACTATTACTACTACTACCACTACCACTACCACTACTACTACTACCACCACCACCACCACTACATCAATGACGGAGATGATGGCATAAATGGCAGGGTCATCACATTTGCAGATGACAGAAAGCCAAAAACAATAGTCAGTATACTGGATGGACAGGCTTAGAATCCAAAAAATTATCTAGAATACTGAGCCCAATTTATTAAGATGAAATTTATGTAGAAAAATGTAAAGTCTCACATCTGGATTAAAAAAGATTAATTTTACAAGTAGATAGAGGAAGTGTAACTAGAGAGCAATTAATCTGAAAATGGGGGGCGTGGGGGAGGAGTGGTCTTAATGGACTCCAAGCTCAGGGATGAGTCAAACTGACATAGCAGGCAGTGTCACGCTGCTTCAAGGGAGGCATAATTTAAATTAAAACAACTCTGAGGTACCACCTCATACCTATCAGGCTAATATGAAAATGAAGGAAAATTGTAAATGCTAAAGAAGATGTGGGAAAATTGGAACACTAATGCATTGTTGGTGGAGTTGTGAATTTATCTAATTATTCTTGAGAGCAATTTGGAACTATGCCCAAAGGGCAATCAAACTGAACCTTTGACCCTGAAATACCACTACTAGGTCTATATCCCAAAGAGATTTTAAAAGGGTGGGGGGAACTATATGTATAAAAATATTTACAGCAGTTCTTTTTGTGATGGCAAAGAACTGGAAATTCTCATCAATTGTTCATCAAATGGGGAATGGCTGAACAAGCTGTGATATATGATTCTAATGGGGTACTACTATTGTGCTATAAGAAACGATGAGCTGTCAGATTTCAGAAAAACCTAGAAAAATTTACATGAACAGATACAGAGTGGAATGAGCAGAACCAGGAGAACATTATACACAATAACAGTGACATTGTACAATGATCAACTGTGAATGACTTAGCTCTTCTCAGCAATACAATGATCTAAGACAATTCCAAAGGACTCATGGTGAAAAATGCTCTCCACCTCCAGAGAAAGAAGTGGTGGAGTCTGAACGCAGATCGAAACATACTATTTTAAACTTCATTTTTCTTGGGTTGTTTTTTTTTTTTGGTCTGTGTCTTCTTTCACAACATGACTAATATGGAAATATGTTTTGCAAGACTGCACATGTGTGACTTGTTATCAAACTGCTTATTCTTTCAGGAAAGGGGGAGGGGAAGGAGGGAGGGAGAGAATTTGGAACTCAAAATTTAAAAAAAACCCAAATGTTAAAATTTCTTATTTACATGTAATTGAGAAAAAAAATTAAATGTCCTCCCCACCCCACCCCCCAAAAAAGGAGGCACAATTTCCAGGAATAAAGAAATGACAGTCTTGCTAAATTCTGTCCTGGTCAGACCACATCTGGACTGTTGTGTCCAATTGCAGCAGTCACATTTTAGGAAGGATAATAAGCTGGACATTGTCCAGAGGAAGGTAATGAGAACAGAGAAAGGTGTAAAGCTCATTCTATATGAGGGTCAATTAAAGGAACTGGGGATATTTTAGCTCAGAGGAGGAAAGCTTTAGGGAAGATACAAGAGTCAAAGGGAAGGAGAAGAGAGGAGAGGAGAGGAGAATGGGAGGGGATGGGAGGAGAGAGGAGAGAAGGGGAGAGGGGGAGAGGAGAGAAGGGAAAGGAGGACAGGAGGGGAGGGGGAGGGGAAAGGAGGGGAGGGGAGGGGAGAAGAGAAGGGGAGGGGAGAGGAGAGAAGGGAAAGGAGGAGAGGAGGGAAGAGGAGAGGAGGAGAGAGGAGAGAAGGGGAGAGGAAGAGAGGAGGGGAGGGGAGGGGAGGGGAAGGGAGAGGAGAGGAGACAAGAGACAGAGATCAGGCTTAGCAGCCTTCCCCAGTCCCTCGGTGAGTGACAGCAGTCAGAGAGCTAGATTTACCAATACAAAGCTCGAGTGACACATGATCTTTCCCCATAAGAGGGTGGATTTTCTAGTCCCTGATGAGCAGGCAGAGATGCCAAACATACCTGGCTGGTCCCTGGTCCACAACAGCCTGGAAGCAGCTCCCAGGACCCTTCGCCAGACCTTCTGCCCACCAAGCTCCTCCTTTGCTATCCCTCTTGGCACTGGCCTTCTCTTCCCAATCTGACATGTTTGTTGGGTACCTCCTTGCCTCACAGATCTCCAACAGCCAAATAATTTCTAGAAAAATTCCAAAAGCCCCTAGCAAGAAGATGACACCTTTTCTGAACTTTCACAGCTGGCTATGCACTTTCCTGGAGAGGTCAAACACTGAACTGGGAGTCGGACATTCTGGGCTTGGATTTTGATGAGTCACATCTCTTCACGGGTCAGTCTCTGTTTCCTCATCTACTGAGATGGGGGGGGGGG